GAGAAACGAAACTTGTTTTGAGCGTAAGGAAGGAGTGTTTTTGATGAACAAATCAACATCGTTCGATCCACGTCATTCCAATATACCCGTAGTTAAGAGGCCCAAAGACAAATTACACAAACAAAAATACACTAAATTATCTTTGCATGTGACCTTGCAGCAAAATGTATACAGGCTTTAATTTAATGCACCTAGGTAGCATGTATTAAATAGCTGTATATTCGATTGAATCAATTAAAATTCCCAACCTAAACACCAGCATCTTCTTTTGCTCATAAAAACCGATCCGTAAATTGGCAAATCGATGATACTTATTGCAAATATTAAGGAATCTGCTCGCAGGCGATTTTGATGTCCTGCCATGAGCGATTTGCTCCACCTCGTCTGTCCAGAACAACACTTCATCCCTTAAAAGTGGGTTCTCTAAATCAAATCGTCAGCCTAATCCCATAGATACTCTTCCACAGACATCAAATGGTAACCTGTGCATTTAAATTATGGTTGACTCATTTAAAAATTAGGCTAACACAGCGCCTTTCCAAAAGACAGCCGCAGTGTCTGTGGTAAAAGGATTCACACCAAGATGGATTGCTGATCACGGGGTTTCCTACCAAATTCAAACAGATCGAGGCAGCCACTATAAGAATTCGTTGCTTTTGGAACTCTGCGATTTGCTAGGTATTCACAGATGTCGAACTACTGCATGTCATTGCCAAGTGAGTAGGCAAGTCACACAAACTAACAGAAGGCCTACAATGCTTCTACTATTGCATCTTGATAGATATACTGCGAACCAGTAGGCTCTGCACTTCACCACGAGTCTAACAAAAGAAATAGTGTACTTTGGATAGGAGTTATGGCAGACGGCAGACGTTGTGCCACCACCACTTTGAAAACTGACTTCTGCATGACATTTCAAATACGTTGCTGAGACGCAACGCCAAGTGTGGCAATTTTTCGACACAGCCAAACCACAGTTGATCATAGCTTACGAGCAACAAAAGGATTATCATGATTATTATATACGCGCACATGGTACTTCAATAGAGAGAAGTGATCGAGTGTAGATGGCTACGAACAATGCAGACGGCGAAATCAGGCAACTTCGTCTCGCCTGGGAAGAGCCACATGTCGTCGTCTTGGTCCTTACTTTAGCGACGTGTGCAATTCTTAATCTAGATGACATTCCAAGCCAAGGGTAAACCGTTTACATTAGCAAGCTTAAATCATATGGCTCGCGTAAGTAGGATGCCGATGACGAGCCCATTATGTACTGCGAACCACCCTAGTAGACCACCTTATTGAGCAGTAGCAGTAGTAGATGAGAAGCTGGGGTCACCTTCGGTCTTATGGGTAGCAGTCAAGAGGTATGGCAGATTGTTGCCATCTTGATGCTCTGTAATTTGCGGAGGCATCATGTGACCAAGAGCTTGACTTGCGGCATCGTGACGTCACGTGGGCAATGAATAATACTGCAAGGATCGAGAGGAAATCCACTCATGAGCTCTTCGTCCCCATTCCAGCGCCCAGGAATGGACTAATGCAAAAACAGGACGATCGTGCCAAGGCAACATACAAAACCTGTTGTCTCTATGGCGCCACCTAGACTGCAGATTTTATCTGTGTCCAGTATAGACACTCGATCTAACTCTCACTTCTCATTTGGCTTAACAGGAGCTTGAAGCTTAAGCTGACAAAACTTGCCTCGGATACATTACCGCAGAACACATTGTTTTACGTCCATTGCTGCGCATTCGTTGTAGCATTTCGTTAATGTTGCATCGAGTGTCAGTTTGATCCCATCATTATCTGTCTGAGGTCACTCAAATGGCTGTATTATTTGCCTTGAATCAACTTAGGAAAACGTCGTCATAGCCTTTGCGTCGACACAAGACAGGACCTCAGAGAGACTAGCACAAGTTCTTTGGTCCACTTCAGTTACGGTCAGTGAAATCCAGCAAGAGACCGCCATGTGCAACACAACGTGGCACGCCATCTTCCTGGTTTCTTAACTGAGGAAGTCCTGTAGACCATTCCGCAACTGAAACCACTCAGCATTGTAGGAAACTAGTTGATGTTTAAAAGCGCGTTGCGACCCATTATTCATATCTTTAGCGTTACTAACGCAAGTCGCATTCTATTCTCCCAGGAATTGGCAAACCTGAGACCATCGTCTGTCATTAGAGCAACACATTTACTAACAAATAGCAGGACTTTTCAAGGGCTTCTTGCAGTGGCACCATCTACCACTAAACAGATGAGATCACACTGTAGGTGCGTACGCCTTCCACACAGAGTGGATGTAGACAGAACTCAAATTCAAACAAAGAGCGTGCCACCCTCCTCTCTCTGGTTATTAACGCTTCATGAGCTAGAGTCATTTTTTACACTACTTCCACAAACAAGCCAAAAGACAATGAAACCCAATCCACTGACAGCGTCATTAGCATTAATGCACCGTGACCCAGGACACATGGCCTTCGACGAATTTCATGGGCTTGGGGATGAGCAGAAAAAGGAGGGTTTTAATTTACTGAGCGTGCGGTTGAAGAAATGGACAAAGTGCAACTCTATACCGCATTGCTAAATATGTTGGCACAAAAACTAGACCAAAAGGATACATTTAGCCTTAATCGATATAAAGTCACTAGGAGGTTAATTTACTAGTGGAACGCTACTGTTACTTCTGTAATAAATTGCCTGTTGTCCAACGTTATCAAGTGTGCATATTCAGCATTTCCTTAAATCAAAACGCGCATGTTGGAAATCTATATTAAACTGGGTTTAATATTTGACAGAATGCTGATTGCGTGGATAGGATTTCATCTAATAGTGAGAGTACAACGCCACACTTTCAACATGCATATATGCACACTCTCAGATATGTTATACTTGATGCAGAGATTTACGCATTGACATCAACCGTGATTAGAGCATTTATTATAGTAAACATAGAAAGACGATATGGTGTTGGAGGAGTGCAGAAGATTAAACAAGGGTTTATTGAGAGGGTCAGGAGTAAAAATTCAAATAAAACTGTGTAGGGCATATTAGTGGAATGTGAAGATATATGAAGCATGTAGGGTAGACGAGGTGTCAGCAGTTCAAGCGTAAGAATGGCATTTGTCTTTTCATTGGGCAGAATTGATGGATCTGTCTTAGGCTCGACGCATCTGTGCTTGTTCCTGCTGTTTGACACACTGTTTGCGACGACAAATATCTCCAGCAGGACACTTGCTGCAACTGCGTCCCTTCACGTATGGTCTCCTTTCCTCAATTCCTTGCCTTCAAATGAAACCATGTAAATGATACCAAAGAGAGAATGTTACATACATTCATTAGATGGTACAGCTGAAGCATTTGTGGTGGTTTATTCAGGCGATTTGTGCATCTTAACATGAACACGCAATGCAAAATATCTGACCACTCGAAATCAGGCTAACATTACATTGTGTCTATAGACAACCTAGGTGTAATTTGTGTGGCCTCTTAGACACTAAGCCACGAAGACACGAGTTTCTACTGGTGATTATGCGACAAGACTTACATTGGATCGTACTGGCAAATCACTACGTAGACTGGCCTTGACTGCTCAGAATCAAGGTATCCGCATTTGTGCATTGCACATCCAACTCTCGTAGAATCAGCCCAAACGATCTGCAATGCAGTAAACGAGAGTAGCACCCCCAGTTATGGTGACCAGATCACGACCATATATACAATGGTGCTTCAGTATTTACTAGAATTGTAGCATTTTGACTAATTCTAGTAGCATTAGACCTACTGATTATAACTAGACACGTAAAGGGCGTTTCAAATCACCTTTGAAATATTTGGCTCTTCCTGAATGTCATTTTTCAAAATTGACTAACCTTATTTCCTTTAACGCAAAATTATTTAACCACTTGTTGCGTAGAATCGAATTTGTTTTTCTTGAACTAGGAAGCATTTAAGGTTTCTCATTTGTCAGAGATTCTGATAAATTTTAGTTTGTGAAAAGGATTACGGGGTAAAGGGAAATCACTGCCTTCTGGAAATAAACGAGTTGATTGATCTTCAGAGATTGAGCAAAATGTAAATGATCTAGGTTACTCACACGTTTATATTGAGTGCAATCTTCAGTGCAGGTATTGGCGTCGTAGTCATAGTACTGTGCATCGTCGGCCAGGTCATTTATCATGTCAGCATAAGTTGGCTTCTTGTCAAAGTACATGCGCATATTCTGAGTCTCATTGTCACTGTATGCGGTGACGAGAGGATCCTCCACGATGCATTCAGTCAGTGACTTCTCCGCCTGTTCTTCCAGCTTCTTCGAATATTTCTAAATGAGAGAAAGGTAAGCCATCTTACCTTGGGCAATACATAATAACCAGAAAAACCAAAACAACCAATATGTAGTTGATGACAAAAACCAACTACCATGAACACTTTGATGCGTGTGAGCAAAGGGAAAATTAGCCGGATTGAGAGCTCTGACGCACCATCATTTTCATGTCACTGGCACTGGGGCTGACGCCTTCGCGTATCTTTGTGTGTGCTTGCACAATCAAACGGCGTTCTTGCTTCGACGGAACTTCAGCTGCCACATAGCATATCAGTGCCAGAAGACAGATGGTAGCCTGTTTCATGCCTACATTCAGCCACAGTGAAAATGAGCAGATGCCTTACTTCAAAACCGAGGTGGGCTAGTCTTCCTGTAGCTGGACGAGTGTATAGTGGGTTGACATGGATCGTGCTTCGCACCAATTTATACCGTCAAACCGTCTATCAATGCCGAATCGGCAGATGGTTGAGCGAGAAGTCGGAACGGCCATTGGTTTACTTGAAGTAGGTTACTTCAATTAGCACACGCCTGCATTCACGTGATTGGATCAGTGCAACTGAGGCGCAACCTGTAAAACAGATTGTGCTAATTGTCGTAAAAGGAAATTGCAGCCACGTAATTTTTCATACGCCATCGATGAAAACAGCTCGATTTCGAAGTAAGGTAAATACTCAAGTTGATAACTATGCAAGAATTCTGCCTTGACCCCAAATGTCTTCGTTGTCCGTCGCGATTGGAATAGCTTAAAGAGTAAAATGACCTGATTTGTAGGCAAAATATAAGGTGCCTAAAATTTTCTAAATGACGATATTGCACCATAGATGGATGCATAACCAACCGAACACATCTGATACCCCAGCTTAGAAAACCAACGCGTTCAATTGATCTACTGTGTAACTCTTAATTTTCCTTTAAATAGTGTATCAATTAGCGTCTCGTCCGTAGTTAATGTGTTATTTGTACATTGTTATGCACAGCGTCAAGTGCATCACTTGCAGAAGGCAAGCCGAAATCTCCATAGTATCATCTGTGTCAACTTCAATGTGTTTAGCCTGCATTTTCCAATGTTGTACACTTATTTCAAGGAAAACAAAGCTGCATTGTGGATCGTATTTATTTCACTGCTACAACATACAACAGCACTAATGCATGGATGCCATTTCACGTCGAATTGCGCATCATCGTCGTGAGACGCATTTCCACACAGCATACCAAAATCAACCTAGGTTTTGGCGAAAGTTGGGAAATTTGTGCCAGTGAATGATTTTTGTTGAATTCACAGGGAATCAGTTATGCCTGACAAAGTGTACATGACAGCAATTGATCCTGTGCAATTCAGCTTTGCACAAAGACATACAGTAATTTACGGCCACATCGAAATCTCGTTCACCTGGTTACCATTGCACATTTCAATTTTGCATTCCGATAAAAACAATGTTAGTTTATGACAAATATTTGCTGTGTGCAAGAGCGCACGTAACACAATTAACAAGATAACAATTGACGCTACAAAACAACATTAAGAACGTGTTTTCGACAACATTATGTGCCACGTGCATGAAAGAAACGCTATGCTACCTATGACTACCAAATGGAATACAGAGAACCTCATTTGCAACTGCCTCAAATGACTCAATTAAAGACACCGGATTAAGCAGCGGTTGCAGTATTGAAAATGTAGATCCACGGTTTCAAATGTGCAAACGATAGCTATACCGCCAACTGATTTCTAACCACATTTATCGCCCCACCATGCCAAGCCCTAACATTCTAGCATCGCGTGTCTGTTCTCTTCGAAACACCGTGTATATTTGCACGCATTGGCATTACCTCTGATATGCCTGATTGCGTTGAGTGCCTTCTTAATAGCGTCCTGTCAAATGAATCTCCAGTGCCTCATTCCGCGGATGATGCTGTAAATACACATTCGGTGCCAACACAACATCAGCACGCACCCACTGTTGCTCACTTTCAGGTCGTGATTTCGCGTCAGTTGTATGTTGTTGGTTGAACGGATATCAATATGTATATTAGTTATCGTCTTGCTTAGGATCATACGAGATCGTGTAGACCCGGTATTACAGAGCTGCGTGTTATGGTTCTGCATGGAATATTATTGATTTGCCAATTGACAGAGCACTTTGTCTGGAAAAAAATCTTCTGACTGGTATTAAGTTTGGGAATTTGGTATGGTTCAATTGGGTATAAAGCCATTTACTACATGCTTCTTATCTACAATGAATTTCAAAACTGTCGACATTGTGCTGCTAGCACACATGCGCAGATAATGTAGTGCAATTTTGTTTGCGAGAAGTTGTTTTCGTGCTCCTTAACCACGGGTGCATTTGGATGACGTAAGTGCGTAAAATCGAACGATGTTAACTTGTTTATCAAAAACACGCCTCCTTAACACTCAAAACAGGTCTCGTGTCTCGACAGCTTGCAATTATCCCACCGGTGATTGCACGAGTCTTGTGTTTGCTTCTATGAAATGCAGACGCAACTAGGATGAATACCTAATTCACCTAATTAAGAAAGATATAGCATGACAGGCAATATTTGCTGTTTAATACGTTGGTGTGATGTGCAACCACATCAATTCGTTTATGTTATCATTTGCTAAGACACATAGAATGCCCTTTAAGGCACCGCTCCCTTTCACCTCATTTTGTTTGAGTTCTATTCGGCACAAAGTGCATATTTGGGAGCCCCTGATGTGTCTCCGCTATGCGAGGTTTGGTTCTGCGCCTATTCGATAGCGTTCCGTGGCAGGAGCCAGTGACAAGATTCGCAGTTGCCAGCAAAACATTTGTAGGTGTCACTTATCATCCTGTGGTCGTCATTCTTTGTTAATTATATGCCACTGGCTAAACAAATAACTGTAAATGAATTATGAATTGCTTTGGACTGGGACGTCTTTGTATTTTCCCATGAACAATATAAAAACATTTTCAGAAAAATAGTATATCAGATGCCTTATTCAGACGTTGACTGACGTTTAAATTTTAGTCACGCGATTTAGCAAATGACGTCACAGTTTTCTTCGTTTATTAAAATATATTTTGTGACAAGTATGGTAGGATCAACGGGCATTACTATTTAAAAAACCCACTTTATCCAACATTAGTTCATGGAATAAACTAAAAACTGCATATTTAACTTCCACAGGAAAATGAAAATGCTAGGCGAATTGCCGTAATTTGCTACCAAAATGCATAATTAGCCAAAAATATCATGAAGACTGCCTCTGCAAAACAGATTCGTTTAAAGCGTGAACAGTCATGGTTGAGTGAAATCACAAATTCATGAATATAATCAAATTATAGAGCACCATCCACGCATAGACGATTTGACCAGTGTTGAGTCTTTCTCAACAGTAAACAACAAAGATATATTTTGACATTTTTCATTTGTTTGCATATATAGGTTTGATTAAAGGCTAAATGCATTTAATTTTTCTAAACAAATGGAACCACCAGTGTGATAATCAGAAGAGCCTAGGTAAATCTGCGAATATCAAGCAGCACAGTTTCAGCAACCACAACAGCCTGCAGCTTAGCGATTTACTTCAAAATTACACAGCTGACGGTACCGCCTCTTGATTTGGTATGACTAACCACGCGAAAACCATAACGCCAGCAATTTTCACACAGAATCCAATCTAGATGTTTAACAGATTCTTGATATTGGGTAGGTAATGCGTGGCTCACAAGCCTACCGTTTTGTAAAATATACATTTGCTGTCAGTTAAGTTCACACATATTGTCACTAACAACTCAAGCCATGGTTGTACCAGTTCAAGGTAAAACGAGATAGCATATTTGTGACATGTTGTTGACTCTCCCTTGCAATAGTAAAGCACTCTGTTTTGCTATTTGAGTTGGCGTTACCGCAATTGTCATTCACGGATTTATTTGAAAACCGCTATCTAACGTACAAACCCTACTGTCCAGGTCGGTTCGCTGTCACACCTCAAGCACTTCATTTCATTGCGAGCATTCCCATAAATTAATTTTAAACAAGAATGGATGCCTTTATTAGTTAATTTAACAACGCGACACATTTTGCAGTGCAGACGCTTGCCCGGTGTTCGGAGAACGCATCATCGTGCACAATTGTTTCGCAAACTGGCCATTCGGTAGTCACATTCTGGGCACAAAAGCATGGGTTGCATTGATATCCATGAGTACAGCCACTGAATATGGCCCACGAAAACGCACACACTTGAAGCCTTCCCAACTGCAATGTTCCTCGCCATTTATAAGTGCAAATGCGGTGTTCGCGCAGGACAACTCATAGAAATGTGGAAACTGTATCAAGTGTACGGTCACACAACGACTAGACGACAGGCCATGAACATACCAATTCAACATCAGTATTCCCATTAGAACATGTCATCTACGACAGCGAAACAAGGTGGAGTAGGTCTGGGCATATTCAGACAGATCGCTCAGTGTTTGGCCTTGGCAAAACAGCCGTCTGCATCTGGTCCTGAATTGTTTTACATCAGTGTGGGAATATTGGGGTTAGTGTCTGAATGAAGTTACTGGAATGCTATTAATCTGAGATTATGTTTATAATGTGTTTGGGCAAAACCTGAAGACGTCGCAATACAAATCAATTCACAGATATTCATTTATTCAGCAGAGAATGACGACCACAGGATGATAAGTGACACCTACAAATGTTTTGCTGGCAACTGCGAATCTTGTCACTGGCTCCTGCCA